TCGGTGCTGAACTGCGGCCAGATGCCGATGCCCTTGGTGCAGTGCTCAATCGCCTTGTCAATGGTCAGGTACTGCAGGTGATCCTGCTTGTCTGCGACAATGACATTGACGTAGTTGGATGAAGCGAGGCAGTGTTCCATGGTGGAGAGCAGGCAATTCCCGTCGGGCGGCAGGTAGATGCGGACGACCTCGGGGCTCTTGTTGGCGACGACGTCGAGGAAGCCGGGGTCCTGGTGCGTGAAGCCGTTGTGGTCCTGGCGCCAGACGACGGCCGTCAGGAGGATATTGAGAGAGGCGATCTTGTTGCGCCACTCGACTTCGAGGGCCTTCTCGATCCACTTGCAGTGCTGGTTGACCATGGAGTCGATGACATGGACTAGACTCGGTCAGCTGGAAACCGAACCAAGACTGGTATGCGAGGGGAGTCAACTGAGAGACTTACTGAACGGCTCGTAGCTGTTGAGCAGACCGTGACGTCCGGTCAGGATGTAGCCTTCGAGCCAACCCTCGCAGGTATGCTCGGAGAGCATCTCCATGACGCGTCCATCGGGGGCCAGGTTGCCTCCGTTGGTATCCTCCTCAAAGTACTCGCCCATCCAGACCTTTTTGCCGGCTTCGTAGACGGCACCGAGCTTGTTGGACTCGGTCTCGTCGGGGCCGAAGAGCCGGAAGCTTTTCCGATTCAGGGCAATGACGTCCCTCAGGTAGGTGGCCATATTGTTCATGCTGGCAGCGTTGATTCCGCCAGGCTTGTCGACTTTGATGGCGTATTTCTTGAAGTCGGGAAGCTTGAGGTGCTTTCTGAGAAGGCCACCGTTGGCCACCGGGTTAGCGCTCATGCGGCGGTTACCGGAAGGGCAAAGCGCCTTGAGTTCGTCCGAGATGCGCCCGTCCTTGAAGAGTCGTTCAGGCTCATAGCTGCGCATCCACTTCTCGAGAACCTTCAAGTGCTCGGGGTTGGTGGCCGCGCTGGGGACGGGCACCTGGTGAGCTCTCCAATAGCCCTCCATGTAGTTGCCGTCAATCTTGCGGGGGCCAGTCCAGCCCTTGGGGCTGCGGAGCACAACCAAAGGCCAGATGGGGCGGAAGGTCTTGCCGGAATCGCGGGCCTGCTTCTGGAATCTGCGGATCTCGAGGACGCAGTGCTCCAGGGTGGCCGCCATGGCCTGGTGCATGGTGTCGACATCGTCACCCTCGACGAAGTAAGGTTGCCAACCGTAGCCGAGAAACAGGTTCTCGAGCTCCTTGTGGGAGATTCTGGCCAAAATGGTAGGATTATTGATCTTGTAGCCGTTCAAGTGCAGGACCGGCAAGACGGCACCGTCAACAATGGGGTTGAGGAATTTTGTACTGTGCCACGCGGTAGCCAGGGGCCCCGTTTCGGCCTCTCCGTCGCCGACCATGGTCAGCGCGATAAGATCGGGGTGGTCGTATACGGCACCGAAGGCGTGAGAGACGGAGTAGCCAAGCTCACCGCCCTCGTGGATAGAACCCGGGGTCTCGGGCGTGGCGTGGGAGCCGATGCCGCCAGGGAAGGAGAAGGACTTGAAGAACTTCTGCATTCCCTCAACGTCCTCCGACTTGTCGGGGTAGACCTCGGAGTAGACGCCCTCGAGATAAGACTGAGAGAGGACGGCAGGGGCGCCGTGACCGGGGCCGGAGATGAAAATGGAGTCAACGTCGTACTTCTTGATGATGCGGTTGAAGTGCATCCAGGTGAAGATCTGACCGGGCGCAGATCCGAAGTGGCCGAGCAGTCTTAGCTTCATGTGTTCCTTCTTGAGAGGCTCACGGAGGAGGGGGTTCTCCTTGAGGAAGATCATGCCTAGGCACAGGTACAAGCTCGCCTTGAAGAAGTCATTGTACTTTTGGATGTCCTCTCTGGAGAGCGGCTCGCCCCTTACTGTTGATCGGGCTGGGCCATAGGGACTGATGGACTCGACCTCCTCGTCGGTCATTGTGGAAGGAGGTGTGTGCAAGTGCTGGGTGAGTCGTGTGTTGATATGTGCAGCCAAGAAGCCTTTGAAGTGGTTATGTATCTAGAAGTATAGAAGACTGTACGAAGTCAGAGGAAGCATAGCATTTATAGGTGTCTAGCTGCCCACAACAGGCTGCAGGATAAGGATGACATGTTACTATCCTGCTTAGAGGCGGGATGGCCGGCTCCTTAGTTGAGACTGATACCCACAGTCTTGGGACTGATCTCAGCCCGACAGCAGACGGCAGTGACAGCGCGGACGCACGCGGAGACCAAGGAGCCATCGGCTGATTTCGACGGTCCTTACCGGGGTACGAGGGCAAAGGGCTTGTGTAGGCTGCGGGAATGGAATTATTGGCAACGGGAGGGTTTTGCGAAGGTGTGGAAGGTTGTGGCACGCATCAGCAACGCCTCAGTGCAAGCGTTTCTGGGCTCTCCTCTCCTCACCAGAGAACGGCAGCGCCGGGGAGGTGTCTCGTATCGTTCGTTCCATACCCAGCGGAGGGGCCCGATGGGCTGGCAACGCGGGGGAAGAAAGCATGCTACCCATCCATCCTTGAGCTCGTCTGGTGATTGCATCTGCGGATGGGCTGAGGAATTTGCGGGTGTTCTCTGCAGGTTGTGCGATGAGGGGAGGCTCAGCCACTCGGTCGTGTGTGTTGTGCGTGAGGGGAAGAGGTGGTCTGATCTTCCGAGTGTGATCCCGCACCTTACTGTACACCGTCCAAGGTCTGTTTACCTACCTAGCCAGGTACCTAGGTACCTTATATACAGATAACTAAGGTTTGGTACATTAGGTGCCTAGGTAGGCAACAGACGATAGATACAGAAAAACCGTGACCTTTGTGCCTTCTACTTTTGTCCGAGGAAGGAGCGATTCTCGGCAAAGGAAAGGACCACCGTGAAGGATGGTAAAGAAAGCAAAGCAAACAGGCAAGCACACCTCACCTGCTCTACGACTTCTGTTCCGGCCGTATCCTCGCCCAACACCAGATGCAGCTGATTTATGGGCGAGTGTGGATCGTAGGCACACTAGCATAGGAGCGGTACATGCCTACACAGCTACCTACCTGACTTACAACATTGCGTAGCATGCGCGCGGATCATGGCACCGCTCTATCCATGCATCCATCGTGTTGCCTGGGCCCAGATTGCCTCTGCTTCGGCAGGTGTCATTCCTGCACACATCACCCCACCCACCCTTCTTTCTGCCGCAAGTTGGAGCTCGGAGGTTGGAATCACTTCCATACTGGCAGATACACCCAGTCACTCACTCACTGCTGCATCGCCGAGAAGCTTTGGAAAACACGATTGACGTCTGCAACCGAACAGTCATCTGGTTACAGCAACTTGGCCGGTTCACAAACCCAGAAATATTGTCAACCCGTAGGAAATGGTCTAATTACGGGAAAGAGGTTTGGGCGGCGAAATTTCACAGTTGCATGATCTGATAATTGGCCCCCGGAGCCGATCGGGAGAAGCCTAGCGTCCTGGCGGGGCGGGTCACCGGAGCTTCGGCCGCTGGAACGCGGGGGACTATCTAATTCGCCAACGGCACTTTCAGTGGGGTTTGGTGACCGTTAGAGGGAGGGAGGACTCGTGAAGAAGATCAGCAGCCAGGCATGTCCGGACTCCTCGCTACATATAGCTAAGAGCATATGCATGGAAGGAGAGCGACCATCGTTGAACGATTTCGTCGGTGGCCACATGGCTTCGCGCCACCGCCTATCATATACCAGTATAAGCCGCAGATGGCCAAGAGCGGTTTCTGCCGCCTTCTATACACCGAGGATGCTGGACGGTCGAACCAATCAATCCAGTACTGATAAACCCCCATCCCTCTGGGGCCTGATCTCAAAGTGACACAGCAAAAGCCTTCCCCGTGCGAGCGAGACCACGACCCTGAAAAGTCTCCTCCGCCGACAATACTTCATCAGGACCCCGCGCCAACGAACTCTCTCTTATTATGCTCTCAAAACCTTGAAGCCATTCGTCCGGGCCTTTGGGTTCGCACCCGGACCTTGTGTCATCAGAATTCGCTCACGATCCGCCTTGCGTCCGAGCTAACCACGCGGTGCCCCAGTCACATCCCATCATTTCACAAGGCAAGTAGGCCTACTGAGGAGTCTGAGGTACACCACTCCCGTGTGTGTCATGCCAGCCTGACGTCACAAACCCTCATCCTCCCCGCCAATCAACCGCCGCTTCTGAGGTTCAAAGGGCAGCTTCAAGAAGCATATAAATGTTGACTACCCCCTCACTTACCCCCCCCCCCCCTCCCCCCTCCTCTCCCCCTCTTCTTTCCTCGAGACGAACGTCGGATGACAGAACCTTTACCTTACCCCCCTACGCCACCAGCTGCCCACAACTGCTCAGATTGATTCGCGATTCTTGACAATCAGGTATCACGCCCCGAGCATCGCTTGACATAACTTGCCTTGGCCCATGGAGAAAGACTTCGATGGCTGACATCCGCTGACTGAACAAAGTTACACACTCAACCGCGGAAAGACACACAGGGAGATATCATGGCCTCCGACCCGAGTCACAAACCCCAGACCCCGCAGCCTCCTGCGCCCATCCCCATCGAAGACGATGACGACGAGCAGGGTGACGTAACGAGAGACTACTGAGAAGCGAGGGAAAGAAAGGAAAAACGCACGCCTAACAACTTGGGGATTATGGGACCCCGGGCATTCCATGGCATTCGATCATTTAGGCGCCCGTCCTGTATCTACGTTGTGCTAGAGATGACGATGAGGGACATCATCCCCTCCCCGGACCATGTATTATAAAGTCGGAATGCTGTACGAATACATGCATGCAGCTGAATGGCACGCGGATTGAAACGTTTTGCCTTGCAGGACTCCCAAGAAACCCGCCTCTTTAAATACAGACCGGACACCGTCCGTCCTAGATCATGTCGTTTGTTGACTTGCTTAGTTTTACAACCAGCGACAGACGTCAAGCCAAACGAGAGAGGGGTTTAAAAGTCCATCAGTCGCTGGGAGCAAAAATGGGATGCCCCCTCACGGGATTGAACCGTGGACCTTCGCATGACGAGCCTAGCTACGAGTGCGACGCTCTACCACTGAGCCAAAGGGGCATTGCTAATATCGCCGGTGTCGACGATGTGGTTGGATCGATGCGCGAGACATCTCCACACTGACGACTCGCCATGTTCGGGATTATCACTCAAATCCATCAATGGGACCAGTACAAAGAAGGGCCCACACATGGATAAATCAGGAGAGAATCAGGAGTGTGGAAAACTGGTCAATGAAAATATACGGAGTTGGATGCTTACAAAGCACAAAACAACGATCAATTCATGTCTATCTATTTCATGGACTGGGTATTTGGAGGTTCGTATCATGCCGCGTAAGTATTCATGCTAATACCAAGCAAGCCCGATACTGCACCGCTTACGCTTGGGCATGGAGAGACGGCGCCATTCGTTCTAGGGCTAAAACCAAACCCGTGATTTCCCTAAAATATACAATGTTTACCACAATGTTTGTACGTAAAGACCCCGAGCCTATGCTACCAGAGCACAAAGTGATATTGTGGACCCGGATGAGAACGGCGAGTTGTGCTTCAAGTCCGGGGCTCCGCCCAACAGTCAAATGCAAATCGAACTGATGCTTCCTTCCGTGAGGAGCGTCTTAAAGATGGAGGCTTTATGAGAACTAGTGAGTGTCAGCCCCGCGCCAATGCAAAACGACAAAATTGTCGGTTACCTGCTCCTCGCCTTTTCAAAGCGCGGCTCAGGGGCGGGTCACTCGTGCTACCATTCTTCTATGTTTGGTCGCATTCCGCGGTGTTGTTTGGAAGCCCGCCTGTAGTCGGCGAAGCCTTCGCGGCTGGTTGCGTATCCGCGGCAACTCCTTCCATGTCAATCAGGTCGATATCTCCGTCTGTGTCCTTGGTCTCGTCTCTGTCGGCGTTTTCCCCTTGACCTGGTGGCTCTGGCAGATTGCGCTTGGGGACCTTGACCAGCTCGCGTTCCCTCCCATCCTGAACGTAACAAAGGTAGTATGGGTCGCCGTTGCTATTGAGTGTCTTCAGGACTTCTTCGGTATTCGGTGTCTCCGTCACGGTCCTATCATTGTACTTGCGCCATACACCGGCCTCGAAGTCGTGAATCCAGACCCAGTAATGACCCGCCCTGAGCTGGCCACTGTGGCAAATCACTGCATGCAGGCGATATGCGTGCTTCTTGTGCTGAGAAAAGAGCTCTTCAAGCTCTGCTTTGTATGCATTCACTTCTTCAACGCGCATGTCCTTGATCTGCTGGCGTCCTTCTGCGGTGAAACCCGTCGTGTCGGGAGGATCACTCTTGTCGAAAGACTTGTCGGATAGGTCGTACGTTGGGAATGATGGGTCCTCCCCAGCAAAGTCAAGAGAAGAAGCCGGCACGCCTCCGAGGAGTGACTCAGGCTCCGGGATGTCTGCCTTGTTGACATGGACGAAATCATTGACGAAGCTGTCGATAATCTCTGCATCTTCGGCCGTGGTTTTAGGTATGCTGTTGAGCTGTTCCAGACGCTGCTGAAGAGCCCACCCTTTTTGCCTCAGCTTAAAAAATTGCGGATCGTCTGGAGTATCCAGATATCTATCAAGATGTAACGTCTCAAAGACCTCGACAGGGTTCATGTTCTTGTTGCCATTGTTTTGGGTCCTCTGAATAAGAACATGGAGGATAGGAGGAAGCCTCTTGATCGATGTAAAGCGCATGATGTCCTCTTTGCCAGCAACAACTCTCTGGAGGTCAAAGTTGCGACTCAGGCCATCATGAATATTGGTCGGGCCGGTTTCGGCGGGGTAGGCTGTGATCGCACGCTCCAGCGTAGAGTCCAGTTTGTACTTGTCCTGGTCGGGAAACTTTGTATGGTTTGTCAATTCGACGTAGAAAGTCTCCATGATTGGCTCCCACTGGATTCCGTCCGCAGCATCGGTTTTCGTGGGTTTGATCGCCGCCTGTAGACGGTTGATGATGCTGCCCATCACCTCCTCAACGTCCTGTTGCTCCGTGCCAGAAGTCCTGGTCTGCGTCTCCAAGGCCTTGAGCACCCGTTGTTCGACGTTGAGCGATGGGGACTCAACCCCGGTCATGTTTACATCGCTGTCAACGGCAATTTCCGGTGCTGGTGCTTCGACCGGCTGGGAGACGATCCTGATGTCCGTCTTATCCTCGGGCACGTGATCTCCCTTTTCACCGTCAACATCAGACATATTGACCAGGGTCTGTGAGCTTACGCTGCTAGCGGTTTCTGAGACCGGGTCAACAGTGACGTTGACCATATCAACGTCTTCTGCCTGCTCTGTCTTCTGCTTAGGAGGACCTGGGGGAGGCCTTGCAGGCAAAGGCGGGGGGGCAGGAAACTGAGCACCCATGACCTCTAGTGTCTTTGGCTCCGCAGTGTCTTTGGCTTTTTGTTGCGGAATGGGATCTTCGGTAAGATTCGAAGTCGGTAGCAGCACGGCATTGGCGAGACGCTGGGAGGGGCGAATAGCGGGCGCCTTCGAGTCGCCAAGGTCGTTCAGGAGCCGCCCCAGTTCTTCGACAACTAACAAGAATCAGTATCGGATTAGAGACGGACGCTACTCAAAAAACTTACAAACACGAGCAACGACTGCTTCAGCGCGATCAATCTTGAGCTTGTTTCCACCAATGAGACGCCGTTGTATATCCGCGTCATCCAGGCCAAGCTCATGCATAGGATAGCGAGAGAGCAAGTCCTTGATGGGAACAACCGTGTTCAGGTATTGGAGAATGCTGTTCAAGTAACAGGTATTGCCGATATTTTCCAGACCGACCGGGAGATTGGTCGTGGTGGTTGACGGTGATGACTCGGCTTTCTCCTGTTGTGACGGGCCAGATTCCTGTTCAAGAGATTTCACAGCTTGTCGTATTTCGTCGCTGTTCCGGTCGGAAGCAATCGATTCCATCGCTTTGATAGCGACATCCGCGGTGGCCTTGCTCCTCGGGTCCTTGTTAAGCTACAGCGCACGGGGCTGAGGTTAGCGAGATGCCATGACAGTTAATTTAAATGTCAGAGTTGAAACGTACTTTGACGCTACACATCATCACAATGGTGCTATCAGGCCACTGTGGATCCGCCTCAAGAATTCGATAAGCTGAGGAGACGTCCATGGGACCATTCGCGTGCGTGAGGATTCTGTCACTACCCCTGTGGCGCCCGATGATCTGAAGCATCTCTCCCGCAAAATCCGCCTGCGCAGGAGAGTGCTCAAGCTTAGTGTTGTAAGCCGAGATAACGTTGTCGTCGTTAGCAGTGTGCTTAAGGCTGAAGAAGGAATACGCTTGACTTTGCAGCTCGTCTACAGCGCTGTGGTTGCCTGAGAGATCCATCCCCTCCACGATGGTAAGCTCTTGGATGGCACGGGTTTGAAAGTCCTCATCCGCAGTCAACAATGCGATATCGCGAAGTGCTTCGACGTAAGCCTGACGACGTTTTGGGCAGAGGGCCGACTGCCGATTGTAGGCAAAGAAAATCAAAGCCTTGTCAAAATCAGGAAGGACACCAAGGACTCGATGCGCGTCAGTCGCGGATTGAGGAACCTTGTTCTGCGGATACTCGAAGCACTGCAGTTCTTTAAACAGCCTGTTGCCGACATACGGCCGGCTCTCGCCAGGCTTCCCACTTCGGATAATGAGACTCTCCGCCTCAGCCTGAAGGTCCTCGATGAAGGCGCGCAACGTGTTGAGTTTTGTCGGTATACCAGGAGTGCCAGGCTCAAGCACAGGAGGAATAAAGTACGGCTCGGAAACATCGTCCTTATCGAGATCCTCTTCCGTAAACTGAATCGCTCTAAAAATGTCATAGCATTCATCGCCAAACACAACCTGGAAACGCTTATTTCGCCGGGAGATGTTGCGTGGGCTGGGCTTATCCAGCAAGTCTCTAAGGTACGTATTCAGAGTGGACGGGGCGCTGGTAGACCAATCGTCCCTGGCATCTGCAAAGCGTTCCGGCGAGTTTTTTCTGGCTTGGGCCAGGTTGTCAAGAATGCGTTGCTTATCGAGGAGTAGACGCACCCACTCTCGCTTGAGTCGAGGTCGCGAGATCTCAACAGATACCTGGAATGTGCAGCGGGGTGCCGAGCAAGCAAAATTCTCGACCGCAAGCAAGGTCTCTCTGATCATGGGATGATAGTCTGATACATGTTTGGCGGGTCGGATCGCTTCTTTGACGTTGACCAGATGGTGGATGTAAAAGTCCGTGTCCCTTGGGGGAAAATGAAGATTCTGAGGACGACAGAGACAAACCAAATGGTTCGGGTCCCATGATGTTCTGATGATGAAGTGAAAGTCACAGTTGCAGCAAACGCAAGACAGGAGGCCAGGGTTGCGACCTTCTGCCGTGCTCTGGTTGCCCACAAGGACAAGGCGATGGGGGGCGCCGGCGTTGCTGCAGCGCGCATCGCGGTCCCACTCGATCCTGACGAACGAGCCGGAGTCAAGATCGGAATTGAGTAAGTCCTGTACCCATCTAGGTGCAAGACGACCTGCTCAACAACCAACATTCGTCAGCCGCGACATCCTCTACGTCAAAAGAGACGAGGCATTTGCCATCATCGTGAGGCCCAACGGAGTACAAGATAAGACCATTTGACGTACCAGTCTTTCCAAGCATGTTTTCTTTGACGGGCGCGGGCGTTCCCTCCCAATGTTCGGCGGTTGGTGAGTCACTTGGTGACATGATGGAATATTGATCCGACATGACCATGGTGGTATGAATGTCTCGGCGTAGTGGTTGGCTTCGTGGCTCGCCGGGTGAATTTACCTTGGCAGTGGGGTCAGCAGTATGCACGAGAGAACACCGCCGGAGCAAGATCACCTATCAAGAGAGATCGCCTCGCAAAGCCTTGTACACGCTGGCCTAGAGTGACATGCGTCAAGTCGGGGGTCAGCACGGTGTAAGTGCTGCAGCAGGCAGTTACGATTCAACGTAGTCCTATAATAGCCCCGTATGCGCCACACGAATAGGTTATGTCTGTCGAAAGATTGGGAGTTGATAGACGACGTCGGCAGGCGAGGAGACCCGGGTCTGCACCAGGGTAGGGGCTGCTCGGTTCTTG